GCCGACCCACCCGGAGAAGGCTACTTAAAGGATTCGGGCTTTTAGGCTTTAGGGTTTATGGTTTAGGGTTTAGGGTTCAGGGATTTAGGGTTTAGGGTTTAGGGTTTAGGGTTTAGGGCTTAGGGTTTACTTAAAGGATCATGGGACTTAGTAAGCAGGTTATATTTAGAAAAACTATACTTATAACCCCAATTATGGGACTTATAACCTTACTTACTAAGTCCCATGATCCTCCAAGTATTCTGGCTATTCTCCTAGGTATGGCCGCAGTGCGAATCCCGATTACTTAAAAAACCATGTATCAAAATCGCAATTCATGAAAATGCACTGTTCTTCTGAGTCTTGCGCCGCATGTACATCACAAGTGATGCATGCATGTGTGCAGAGGGCAGAAGTTAATACTCGGGCTAACCAGGTCAGGTTGCGGAGTCACTTCGCCGGAACAAAAGGACTACCACTGCATCGGAACCGTTTGCACCGCTGTCGTGCTTCAACAACCAAGTCAGGAACCCTGAACTCCGCGGGAAGCTTCTCGTACCGGTTTATCTTAGTGCGATGCACAAGAAGGTCCTATGTAGTTGGAGAGACAGCAACAGTCAATACTCATCAGCTCCAGAGGGAACGGCAGATGGAGCGTTTCTGTGCCTATCTGTGGGCACATCAAGCCTCCTGAAGCGAACCTGTTTCCATTCATGCAACACAACGCAAGTATGATGCGCACCGATTTCTGCACAAAGGGGCTCGTCATTTACAAGGCTCCCGTCAGCAGCGAATACATGCGGCAGGACCTTGTAGTCTCTGTCCATGCACGCATGTTAGACACGCGCGCAGTCTCCGCGAGCCTTCGTACCGACCATCTTCGCATCTAAGCTCGAAGTCCAAGTCGCGATTAGCAAAAGCCCTAAACCCTAAACCTTAAACCCTAAACCCTAAACCCCAAACCCTAAACCCTAAAGCCATGAAAGAAACCCTGGAGCCCTTGCAGCACTCAGAAGCCCAAAACTCGCACGCAACAAGATCCAAGTGGCCAGGCAACTTTAAAGAGCGGTGCCAGCTTTTCGGTCGACCCAGTCTCCGGGCAGGCTGCTGGGTTTAGGGTTTAGGGTTTAGGGTTTAGGGTTTAGGGTTTAGGGTTTAGGGCCAAAGATTGAAACTGCAAGGGCCCAGAGGCCATGTAGGCTAGAACAGTACCTTCGGAAGAGGTTGCAGCACAGGCCCTTCATCTATTCATCTACACCCGGCGCACCTTCGTTTTTATGTCTCTTTAGGCCTCTGTGCATCAAAGCACTAGCATGGAGAAGGAGAGGTTGGGGATCTCTTTCAGAAGAAGCTTGGATTAAAATTCCTGCTGCATTTAAGAATCCGTCCTTCACGGCACAGCTGTCATTCTCACGTGGCTGCTGCTCCGACTGCTTCTGCTGTAGATGCGGTGCTGCCCATCAAGTCCCCGCGATCTGCTCAACGTCGGGCAAGCTGCCGCAAGTCCACAAAGATCCTTACATACACCCTAAACCCTAAACCCTAAACCCTAAGCCCTAAACCCTAAACCCTAAACCCTACTCTAATTATTAAGGCCCCTGCATTACCCCCAAGACCTGACTTCCCTTGGCAGGTGACCGGCACGGTCAAGGGTGCGGATTTCAGCCGCAAGGCCACGGGCGACCTGCAGTGTGCGAGAACGCAGATTCGTTGAGGGTTCCGACTTCTTGCCGGGCCTTCATAATTATTCATAATATTTTGAGGGCTCCTTATCATTATAATCATACTATTAAGAATAACAATAATAGTAATAATAATATAATATCTCCCTGGACCTCTGCCGGAAGTTTGTGCTGTGTATGCTTTGCGTGTGATCCTGCGATCGTTGTAACACGGCGTGCTGCACCTCAGGGGTCCACCCGGCTCAAAACCCTCAGTCGCCCTCAGTCACGAAGGCGGGCGTTGACGTCGCCTTGTCTGCAGATGCGATCGTCCGCTTCGGACTGGGTCCCGAGGCCACGTGGCAGGGTGGGCTCTCTTGGGACTTAGGGCTTTTTTGCAAGAAGGTGACGTTACGGCAGATACCTTGCTGGGTGCTGACAACATGAATCACTGGCTTTGTGAATCGCCGCGAAAGCGCGGCTGAACCTGCTTGAATGGCTGTTCACCAATGCACATTGGCCACTAGATCTCGCGAGTACAGCGTGCAAAGGAACTAATGGTTTTTTGTGAGACCGCTGCCTTCGGTCTTGCAGGGCAACGCGTTTGGAACAGTATTCTCCAGGAGCCCTAGCGGCCCAGCCACGGCCCATTCAACGTGCCGCCGTATGTCGCATTATATTTACTTTATAACAAGTCCAAACAAGACAACAGAATGCAACAGTATTTGTACAATAATGGCCGAATGCAACAGAACGTAATGTAGTCCAGACTAGTACTTGTGTACTTTGCCGGAAGTCTGCGAAGCAGGTGGTGATTTGGCTCATCCCCGGTGTGCCGGTGACCATCAAGCCCCAGGTGAGCCTCGAGATCCGTGCCGCTGGAATCTCGGCCTCTCCCAAAGAAGAAGCCAAAGATCCGAAACAAACCCTAAACCCGAAGGTTTTGGGCCTCGAGCTTCGAAGAAGAGCCTTTCTGGGCTCTTCGCTTAAGGAACGATTACCTACAGCACGCAGACGGGGTCGGGCAGCCTGATCCAAACCGGGGGCGGCCTCGAGTCTGGGATCTCCCTGGTCACCAACCACAGCAGTCAGAACGAGGCTGCTTGGCATCGATCTTGGCCTCACCTTTAGTCGCAGACTTCAGGTGCTACTGGTATTCATATTATTATTACTACTATTACTATTATTTGTTATTGTTAATAGTATTGCGGGTTTAGGGTTTAGGGTTTTATAGCTTTAAAGACGAGTCGGGTCGGAGCGTCGGAGCCAGGCTTGAAGAAAAAGCACTCCCCAGGTGGATGCCTGCGTCGCGGTGGGTCTCAACCTCCTCGCAACTACCGACCTGTCCGCATTGGGCATTCCGGACCAGATCGCTGTCTCCCTGGACACGCAATTCCTACAGGATGCCATCGAAGAAGCCATCCGCTCCTTGGTGTCTTCTTTGAGAGCTCACATAAGCTTAACAGCCCCATAAACGGAGAGCCTAAACTTGATGAACTTATCTCTTCCCTTCCGGAGCTCTGTGCAGCATAATCTCCCTTGATCCTCCCTGTCTTGCAGGCCTCAACGCCGCGGGTCTTCATCCAAAGCCCGAAAACCTTGAGACCCGAATTTCTTTAAGCCTTCACCCATACGGCCCAAGGCCGCTATCAAGCCCAAGAAAGCTTGCAACCCTGAACCCCAAGCCCGAAGACCCTTAAAAGTTTAGGGTTTAGCGTTTAGGGTGCGATCCCTCAAATCCTAAACCCTAAACCCTAAACCCTTAAACCAAAAACCCTCAACCTCTGTGAACACCCCTGAGCCTCCCAAAGCCTTCAAAGGAGCCGTGGCAGCGGCCGCCAGCGCATTCCTCACTTCCGGCCTCGAGTGTTTCAGCTCCTCAGATGAATCCGTCAATACTGTATGCAGATATCTGCCTAAAATCTACTAAATATGTACATATGTAAAGAAATAAATAAATAAATACATAAATAGATAAATAAATAAATA